GAGAGAACAGCTGAATTATCTGTAACGTTTCAATCAAATTATTTAAGCCTGTGTCTTATAGTTCACAGGCTAATTTCTGTATGGTTTTCATCTAGTTAATGTAATTGAAAGCCAAATAATGAAGTCAAATAAGTTAGACGTAGAGTTGTCCTTTTGCTGTTAGTATCAAATGAGAAGAACAAATTGCTTGCTTCACACCTGGAGGATCCGGTTTTGCCTGTTAGCTGCCTATTCTTTAGATTAAAGGAAGATCATTTTCATTGGAGCTAGCCGGTAACAGGAAGTCCTTGTTAAACTGCCTACATAGAGCATTTGGCACAGGCTCTGTAATTTTGATCTTGTATTATGCATAAAAGATATTACGAAAAAGGTGGTTTGTCTTTAAATAGATGTTACTTTGCTTTCTTTAGGTATTAAAACTTGCTAAATATTACAGAATTTGGAATAAATAGGAATGGAAACAAGCTTGGGGTGAAGACTTTTTGTTCCATTTACTCTAAGATGATTGAATTCTGCTTTATTTTAGGAAATCCCAAGGGCTTAACTCATGAAATCATTGAATTTCAGAACCATACCAGCCAGAAAAGAGCTCATATTTAAACCTTCCACTTCACTCTTCTTTTTACTTATACTTGCTATTTTCACTTTAAAATAGTTTCAGCGTAGAAAACCTAAAGGTGTGCAGCAATATGTGATACTGTTTATAATATACAGTACAACAATTCAAAATTAATTTTCACTGGAGTGAAATACTTACAGGAAGTATTAGAAATGAAATTTCTCTCACCTTACTGAATTTTCTTACTCTCCCTTTTTTGCTGCCTGAGTTGTTATGATTTGAGGGTAGGAGGAGGGAAATTGCTATATCCTTGGAATGTTTCCAAAATAAGAAATAACTCATCACACACTTACTCTTCACAGCACTCTTTGTGACAACAAATCATTGGAAACAACCCAAAAGCCCTTCCATGTAGGCCTGGCTGAATAAATGGAACATCTGTATAATGACTGTTTTATTCATTAATAAAGAATATAGTAATAAAAAAGATTTCTTTATACTACAGGGTAATTGTAGAATTTACAATTAAAAAAAGCATGCTAGTGCACAAAAGTGTATATAGTGTAGTAGTTTTTGAGGCAAAAAGGAAAGGTGGATATACACACAAATACTCCTCCCCGCCACCAATCAATAATGGTGAATTTCCATAGTCTCCAAATTGTGTACTTTAAAATACCATTTCCCCCATATATATGTTTATATGTTCAAAAAGAAGCAATGGGAGGATGAGCTAAAAACTAATGAAAATAGTTACCTAGATGAGAATGGAAGGAATAGAGAGAGGGACAGGGACAGAGATGGAAAATAGTTCTGATTGTACCTTGTTTTTACAGTTTTGAATTTGGAACCATATAGACGTTTTAAAAATTAAATCTTAAAATAATAAAACTGTATGTAAAAAGCAAAAGAAGCCTGAAACAAATGAACGTGGCTACATATCTAGATGTTGGCATAGCCACACAGAGAAGCATTATTCCAAGTAATTTTAAAAACCAGTATTTTGACTCATGCATCTTTTGTGGGATATATGTTAGAGACAAAAATAACCACAATGAGATCTTAACCTGCATTTGGAAGTATTTTTAGTAATAATATTGGTATTGTGTTGAAACTCTTTATACTGTATGGTAAATTGTTAATGTCGGTGTGATTACAAACTGAAGTTTTTAAGTATAAGAAAAAAGAACTACAGGGGCACCTGGGTGGCTCAGTCAGCTAAGCGTCTGACTTCGGCTCAGGTCATGATCTCGTGGTCCGTGAGTTCGAGCCTCGCATCAGGCTCTGTGCTGACAGCTCAGAGCCTGGAGCCTGTTTCAGATTCTGTGTCTCCCTCTGTCTCTGACCCTTCCCCATTCATGCTCTGTCTCTCTCTGTCTCAAAAGTAAATAAACGTTAAAAAAATTGAAAAAAAAAGAAAACATCTTTCCTTAAAAAAAAAAAAAAAGAAAAGAAAAAAGAACCACAAATGAAGCTAACTAAAAACTAATATTTGATTTAAAATGGAAAAATCACTATGAGCTCATGATTCAATTTTTTTCTAAACCAATTTTTCCTAGCTCTATCCACTGAAAGGGTCTAGAAGCAATGGCAAGTCAATAGCAGTAAATGCCCATAGTCCCCAGATTTTGGTCTTTAAAATACCAGTTCCTTCCTTACTGAAAGGAATCAGGGCAACTTAGAGAAACTGATGATTTTAGGTCTGGGACATTGTTTCTTTTCTTTTCTTTTCTTTCTTTCTCTCTTTCTTTCTTTCTTTCTTTCTTTCTTTCTTTCTTTCTTTCAAGTTTATTCATTTTTGACAGAGAGAGAGAGAGAGACAGAGCATGAGCAGGAGAGGGGCAGAGAGAGAGGGAGACAGAATCTGAAGCAGGCTCCAGGCTCTGAGCTGTCAGCACAGAGCCTGACGTGGGGCTTGAACTCATGAACTGTCAGATCATGACCTGAGCTGAAGTTGGCCACTTAACTGACTGAGCCACCCAGGCGCCCCTGGGATATAGTTTCTTATGGGAAAGCAAAGAAGCTATCAAAGATTACTGGAGTTGTGCCAAAAGAACACAGGAGCTAGTTCAAAGAGGACTCCCAGTGACCAAAAATCTGTAACTTTGAGCCTCAAAAAAGAACACTGACTAAAATAAACTAAAACACATTATCATATACATGTGTGTTTGAGGATATTGAAGTAATCTCTACCCCCAACGTGTAGGCTCAAACTCCGGACCCTGAGATCAAGAGTCACATGCTCTTCTTCTGACTGAGCCAGCCAGGCACCTCTAAAATCCATGAGTTCATAATGATATCTATCCCTCCACAAACCAAAGAAAGCAACTTGATTACCTTGGGAGGTTGATAAGGCACCAATTCACTCTTAGGAAAACTAGGAAATGAAGCAAAGGATCAAACATTTATGTTGACTTTTATCTGAATTGTATTTAAGCATTATCGAGTAGTTGATGAAAGTTTATTCTTTAGACAAAACATAGCTAGTAAACTCAGCAGGAATATAGAACTAGAAACATCATGATTTGATAAGCTCTTGTAAAATAATGAAATTAAGCAAAGGTCATTATGCCTGTTAAAATCATTACATGAAAGAAAGGTTAGTCGGGAACTTTGTTTTGGACGAATCAAGCTGACTCTAGACGAATCCACTGATCTATTATAATATCACTAAAGCTTGTATAACTAGATGTAATATTCCTTCTAAGTATCATATTAGCACTATCTATGCAATATGCTTGTCATAATTTCAACCAGTACATCTAACTACGGATGTCGCATCTACCGATGTGTATCTAATTACAGATACAGGAAATGCACGTTAAAATGACTTCATGAGGAGGGTATCAGCTGAATCGTACTAAACACAGGAAATTCTATAGAAATAGGGCTTGTTTTGTTTTACAAATAGATGTCATGGGAGGAAAAGAGGTGGTGGTGGTAATGTTGCAGGGGTGGGTGTGTTGGGACTGCAGATGATACTGATTCAGAAAGATGTAAACGAATACACTGTAATGTGTATACACATATCTTTTATGTGTATCCATAAAATAAAATGGATCTGAATTTGGACATAACATAAAAAATATCAAGGAATGTTAATTTTTTTTTAGGCATGATAGTGTATTATGGTAATGTTTTTTAATTTTTAAATTGCTGGGTGAAGTAACTTGGCAGGGCAAGTAAAAGATAGTAGGTGAGCAAGAATGGCATAATGTTGATAATTTTTAAAGATAGGTGATAAGGGTTCATTAGATTTATTCTATATATTTGTGAAATAACATACTTGGCTCTGAAATGTCTGTCAAACCCTGACCATGACAGCGTTTTATTAAACTTTTGTCCTCTGCCATCTGATAGGCAAACGGTGTTATTTTGTAGTAATTCCTATTTTTTAATAATTTATTTTAGTTTTTCATTTTGTTTTTCCTCAATATGTTCCTGATTGAGTGTCATGTTTTTTATGCCCAATACTATGCCAAATAAATTAAAAGTGGCCCCGGGGTGCCTGGGTGGCTCAGTCGGTTGAGCATCCGACTTCTGCTCAAGTCATGATCTCGTGGTTCATGGATTCATGCCCCCCACCGGGCTCTGTGCTGACAGCTCAGAGCCTGGAGCCTGCTTTGGATTCTCTCTGCCTCTCCCCCACTCGTGCTGTCTCTCTCTCTCTCTCTCTCTCTCTCAAAAATAAAAATAAAACATTTAAAAAGTGGCCCCACCTCTCCAATAGGTTGCACATTTATGTGGACATATTCACACACTGAAAATATAGATGAACTCCAATAGTACAGGCTCAGAATGAATGTCTGGGTGTTTGAAAACATGATACAGTTTGTATTTTAAGAAGATAAGGACATGGGGTGCCTGGGTGGCTCAGGCGGTTGAGCGTCCGACTTCGGCTCAGGTCGTGATCTCGTGGTCCATGAGTTCGAGCCCCACGTCGGGCTCTGTGTTGACACCTCAGAGCCTGGAGCCTATTTCAGATTCTGTGTCTCCCCCTCTCTCTGACCATCCCCTGTTCCTACTCTGTCTCTCTCTGTCTCAAAAATAAATAAACGTTAAAATAAAAAAATTAAAAAAAAAAGATATGGACATAATTAATGTGAAAGCTGGAACTGATTGCTGAGGGCTGTGGAAACTAGCAGTCCACTTCTTTTTCTCTTTATAGCTTGTTTTGTTGTTGGCCTATTGACCTATTGCTTATTTTCTTGACACTTTTGATTACTTGATTTCCTTTTATATAGGCCAAATCTTACAAACTTATTTTAGCAGTAATAAATAAAGTGAAAATGATAACATAGATACTACAATACTCTCTGAAACCAGTATGTTTTGTAATCAGTAGGCTTAAATCTTTAGACTAAGAAGAACATGATCAAAATAATTCTAAGTGACTTTATGCTTATATATTTGCTATAAAACTACTTCATTTATGTCTCTCTAGGTTGGCAAATAAACAAGACAAGGAAGGGGCTTTAGGAGAAGCTGATGTGATTGAATGCCTATCTCTGGAAAAATTGGTCAATGAGCACAAGTGCCTATGTCAAATAGTAAGTTTTTGGTGATTTTTTGCCTTATGAGATATGTTTTTGTAGAGGTGATAGGCAATTAGGTGGTAGGCAGCTAACAAAATAATTTATTAGTGTTTAAAAAAATTTTTTTTAACCCAGGAAATCACATTCTCCCTGTTCTGTTGATACTATTTAATACTATAACGTTTGTTTTTCTGTTTGGTTGTTGCTTCCATAAACTATCTTTCATGATCTCCAAGACTTTACATTTGCTTTTTGTTTAAGATATTGCTGATAGGAACTTTAAGTTACACAAACATGTCATGCTATAAATTTTGTAGAGGGGCGCCTGGGTGGCTCAGTCAGTTAAGTGTCTGACTTCAGCTCAGGTTGTGATCTCACAGTTTGTTGAGTTTGAGCCCACATCGGGCTCTGCTATCAGCTCAGAGCCTATTTCAGATCCTCTGTCCCCCTCTCTCTGCCCGTCCCTCACTTGCTCATAGTCTCTCTTCCCCCCCGCCTCAAAAATAAGTTAAAAAAACAACAACAACAAAAAATTGTAGCATGCTCTACTATAAATACAAAATGTAAGCGTAAGAGAGGTTATCAGGAGTTTGGAAGATTTTATCAGGAGAGTTATCCTACAATCTTAAGAAAGGTGGACAGAAGATTTAGTCACTCCTTCTGGCTTCAGAAGATGGCCATTAGGGTGTCAATCTTAAAAGATGTTCAATGCTATAAATTCCCTGGTATAAGGAATTAAAACTTTCTGCTGTTTTTAATAAGTAGGGGTATTTTTCTTCTGGCAGTGCAGTTTTGTCTTCCAATGAGTTTGTTTAAAATTATAATTGGCACTGCCGACTTCTTGTAATGTCTTTCACAGCTTACAGATATTATCCACAAAATATATCAGATTATATGTACTAATGTTTAGTAATCATTGCAAAGGTGTGTTTTATAAGTTAAATAAACAGACGCTTCATATAATTAATTAATGGATTAGTTTTGATTTGCCAGTAATTACACTTAATAGTTTATAAACATTTTTGTGGAGAACTCTTAGTTTTAATCTTTAAGTCAAATAAATTTCGGTTTCTCAGGAACCTTGTTCAGCAGTCTTGGGCTACGGAAAGAAAATTGACAAGTCCATTAAAAAAGGCCTTTACTGGCTCCTACATATCATTGCAAGAGACTTTGATGCTTTAAATGAACGCATCCAAAGAGACACAACAGAACAGCGTGCTCTTGAAGAACAAGAGAAACGAGAGAGGGCTGAACGAGTGCGAAAATTACGAGAAGAAAGGTAAGTAGATTAATTTTGTACCACAGTGCATTTGAAAAGTCCAGAACCCCACAGTTTTATGAATAATTTTATAGTTTTGTCTATTCAGTTTCCCCTTGCTATATGAAGGAAGACACTAGGTAAATATTTCATTTCTGTGGATCTTTCTCTACACAAGTTTGAGTGAGAGGGTACTAATTTTCTTAGTGGTGTTATAGTAATTAAATTTATTCCGTAGGTATTTATTAATTCCCAGAATTTGAAGATTTTTCTCTCTTATTTCTTGTAGCGGTTCTCAATTCTTGGGGTGATTTTGTTTTTCAGAGGACATTTAGCAATGTCTGGAGACATTTTTACTTGTCACGGCTGGGAGTAGGTAGAGTGCTTGCTACTGGGATCTAATGGGTAGAGGCCAGGGATGCTGCTAAATATCTTGTGATACACAGGACCATCTCTGATAACAAAGAATTATTGGGCTCAATATGTCAATAGATTAAGAAAGCCTTCCTGAGGCACCTGGATGGCTCAGTCGGTTAAGCGTCTGACTTTGGCTCAGGTCATGATCTATTGGTTTGTGAGTTCGAGCCCCATGTCGGGCTCTGTGCTGACAGCTCGGAGCCTGGAGCCTGCTTCAGATTCTGTGTCTCCCTTTCTCTCTGCCCCTCTCCTGCCCGTGCTCTGTCTCTCTCTGTCTCTCTCTCCCAAAAATGAGTAAACATTAAAAAAATGAAAAAGCAAGGAAGAAAGCAAGCAAGCAAGCCTTCTTTAGTCTAAGCAAAGATAGAAGGTAAGCTGCCAGTGGATCTATCAACTAAAGTAAAATCTGATCTTCAGCACTAGTTTTGTCAGAAAGTAGATTAAATTGCAGTGTCTTGCTGCTGGTGGGAATGCAAACTGGTGCAGCCACTCTGGAAAACAGTATGGAGGTTCCTCAAAAATTAAAAATAGAACTACCCTACGACCCAGCAATTGCACTAGTAGGCATTTATCCAAGGGATACAGGTGTGCTGTTTCGAAGGGGCACATGTACCCCAATGTTTATAGCAACACTATTGACAATGGCCAAAGTATGGAAGGAGCCCAAATGTCCATTGATGGATGAATGGATAAAGAAGATGTGGTGTGTATATATATACAATGGAGTATTACTCAGCAATCAAAAAGAATGAAATCTTCCCATTTGCAACTACGTGGATGGAACTGGAGGGTATTATGCTAAGCGAAATTAGAGAAAGACAAATATGATGACTTCACTCATATGAGGACTTTAAGATACAAAACAGAGGGGGCGCCTGGGTGGCGCAGTCGGTTAAGCGTCCGACTTCAGCCAGGTCACGATCTCGTGGTCCGTGAGTTCGAGCCCTGCGTCGGGCTCTGGGCTGATGGCTCGGAGCCTGGAGCCTGTTTCCGATTCTGTGTCTCCCTCTCTCTCTGCCCCTCCCCCGTTCGTGCTCTGTCTCTCTCTGTCCCAAAAATAAATAAAAAACGTTGAAAAAAAAGATTTTTTTTTTAAAAAATAAAAAAAAAAAAGATACAAAACAGATGAACATAAGGGAAGGGAAGCAAAAATAATATAAAAACAGGGAGGAGGACAAACCATAACAGACTCTTACATATGGAGAACAAACAGAGGGTTACTGGAGGGGTTGTGGGAGGGGATTGAGCTAAATGGGTAAGGGGGATTAAGGAATCTACTTCTGAAATCACTGTTGCATTATATGCTAACTAACTGGATGTAAATTAAAAAAAAATTGCAATGTCTCGGTATTTTAAAAGATGTTTTTAAAATTATTTTTAAAATACATTGCTTGAGAGCAAACTCTTAAATGGAATTTAGCAAACTCTGAATTAAAAAAAAAGTGATTATATAACTTTTACCACGAAATCATTTATAATAATCTTAATGCTGGAAGAAAGTACTCAGATTTGATTAGAAGTTGAGTTTAGTACTTAATCCCATGATTCTTCTTTCTTTCTTCATTGGATTGTTATATGGTAGAGGAGGGGGAAAATGAAGATTTTTCAGTGAGTTCCTGTAAGATATAAAGTTATCTTCCATATACCTAAATAATATTGGCTTTCTATGTACTTTAACATAGCTGTAGTCTGATAGGCAAGAACTCACTAAGTGCTCTTGGTGATGCCTTTGTGAGATGCTTCCTTACACTGTTGAAGAAACCCTCTGATTACTGGTATCTGTCATTTAATTCGGAGATAGGACCTAAAGGAAAGAAATATTTCTAGAGACATACTCTCCATCTCCAAGTACTCAAGAATATGAGCAGATCATTCATCTAGGTCTCTCTTGATACCAGTGTGAGGTTTTATTTTGGTAAATGTGAGAGTCTTTGGGTTTTTTTCTCCTAGTGTATCATATTTTAGTGATATAAAGCTTGGTACAACCAATCATTCATGGAAGTATACCTTTTATGTATTTATAAAAATAAAATACATGACCACGCTTTTCTGAAGACTCTTTTGTTTTTCTTCCACTAAGAAAACAAACGACGAAAAAAATTTAGTTGGAAAGAAGTCGTCTAATGTTAGTCACTTTTTTTCAAGTTTTTACCTTTTCCGTAAAGATATTCTAGGTGATGTTAGGACCTGTTGTGGCTTTTGTGACGCCCATTCTCCTTTCCTCCTTTTCTCCTAGCCACGCCGCTTCTGGTCTGAGGCCTCCCCTGTTGAGCAGAGAGACTTTGGAATTACAAGTGGCATTTAGAGAAGCGTTATTAAAAAAAACGAAAAAACTTTTTATTTAATTAAAGGTTCAGATATTCTTGAAAAATAGTAAAACATGCTGTTGTTGATATCTGAAAATAATATGTCAGTGCCAGAAACCTGAAATTGCTTACTAATAAATGAATAACATTACCATCCTGTAGGTATATTCATTTACAGAGTACTTTCACATACAGAGTACTTTGCACAACCTTATGAAGTACATATTTTTATAAACATTTATGGGAAAGCTGAGGCTTAAAGGTCTAGATATAAGTCCAAAGTCACAGAGGTAATAAATTGCAAATCTCTAACTCTTGGCTTCCTAGGTTTAGAATGAAAGGATATATATTTCCAAAATAGAGCATAATAAATGTCATAGTAATGAGCATTCATATTACCATACTTACAGTGTAGTTGTAGATCTACAATACTTATTCTTCTGTCTTCAGCTACTTGTTTATTTTTTTCACTCCAAAAAATCTATTGAGTAATATCTCTGTCTTGAATTCAGCATAAGAAACTGACAATACAGAGATGAATCAGATCTGGTCCCTGCTCGTAATACGTGCAGTAGTACAGTGGAGGAGCCAGAATTGTATGGAAACATTAGTTAAAATATTCAGTGACTTTGTTGTTTTATAGAGACTTGGAAAGACATATCTATGTTACCAGGGAAAAACCAGCTAGTTGGCATCAAGAAGCCCCAGGGATTGGCATCAACTTGGTAAAACAGACACAACACAGTTCTTATATAACTAGCCAGGATTTTTAGTCTTGACAACTCATTAAAAAATGGCGGGGGGAGGGGGGGCAAATTTCTGCCAAGGAAGTCCTCTACAGAGGGACCCTAGTATATTAATTTATAATTAAAAGCAGAGCTTGGTGGTTGCCAAAGGGGAGGGGGTTGGGGGTGGAGCAAAATGAGTGAAGGAAAGTGGGAGGTACAGACTTCCAGTTACCAGAATGAGTAAGTGTCAGGAATGAAAGGTACAGAAAAGGGAACATATTAGGTATTATAATAGAGTTGTATGCCGACAGATGGTGACCACACTTATGGTGAACATCCAGCTACTCATTTTAAAAAGTAACTTATTATTCTTCATGTATGGGGCAATATTAACTATGAATCACAGACATAGTGTATGTTTCAGTAGTAACTCATGTGGAAATACTTAATCTGAGTGATATAGAGCAACTTAGTTTTATAGTTTCTTTACTTCTTTGCAGCAACAGTTGTTATCTAGTCCATATGTGATATACAGTTTGACACAGCCCTGAAGAAGGCTGTTAACAAGAGGACTTATTTGTTAACATCAATGAAGAGGACAGCATTTGTTTGGGAGAGTAATTAACAAATCTGTGAATATAAACCTTTGGCACATAGAAAATTAATTAGCAACTACCACTGACATTAAGGAGTCAGTCATAGGGAATGTTATTTTTGTCAACATTTCCTTTTTTTTTTTTTTAATTCAAATGATTAACAGTGGAATATTACTCAGCCATAAAAAAGAACAAGATCTTACATTTGCAACAACATGGATGGACCTGGAGGGTATTCTGCTAAGTGAAATAAGTGAAAGACAGATACTGTGTTTTCATTTATATGTGGAATCTAAAAAGCAAATGAAAAACAAAGTGAAACAGACCCAGAAGCACAGAGAACAAACTGGTGGTTGCCAAGGGAAGGCGGGGGGGGGGGGGGGGGGGGGGGGGGGGGGTGGACAGGCAAAATGGGTAAAGGGGAGTGGGAGGTACAGGCTTCCAGTTATGGAATGAATAACTGATGGAGATGAAAGGTACAGCAGAGAATATTATAATAGTGTTACATGGTGACAGTGGCTACCCTTGTGAGCATAGCATAATGTATAGGCTTGTCACATCACTATGTTGTACACCTGAAGCTAATGTAATATTGTGGGTCAACTATACTTGAAATAAAAAGTTCCAATTATTACACGTGGCTAGGGGCCTATTACCAGAAGTAAGGATTTCTGAAAATCTCCTAGTAATTGAAAGCCATGTCCAGATGTTTAACTTACTAAATTTAATAGCGTTAAGCCGATTACAAATGTTCTTACACATGGTTCAGCGTTTTCTCATAAGGAATTCCAAAACTTTTCCCTCAAACAATAGAGAACAAAGAGAACGAGAGCAGGCGGAACTCAATGGAACCAGCAGCCTGGCTGAGTTGGACTCCGAACCAATTATTGTTAATCCTTTCCAGCCAATCGCATCTGTCATCCTTGAGGTACGGATGGTGGCAAATGTGATTTTTTCTATCTTAAGTTATAAAGTTAGAAGTTGAGAAAGGAGGTGGGGAGAAGTGTTTCACCAGAGATTATTCGTAAAAGAAATTAAATGGGAGAGATGGATTAAAGGCTTACTGCTTTTTTTTTCCTCGTAAAGTTTACTTTTTGATCTGATATAAAAAAGGAGAGATGACTCGTGAATTAACCGAGAATGAAAACGAAGATTGAATGTGGCAACTGCCATAATTACTGTCCTGCTAAATCTATTTTTTCTTTTTTGTCATTTATTTCATAGGATAGTGCTGTATTTACTCTTTTTTACACTTTGTCCCTGTATTGCTGTTACTATCTCTTTAAAGTAATATTTGGATGCCTGTGATGCATTTTAGAGTATGTAAATGATTTTTTAATTACTTTCCCAGAATACTTAAGAATGTTGGAAACTATAAGTTCTCCTATATATGAGTATCATTTATTTTAATTTTGATTGTCAGAAATTTTACCAAAATTAACTTGTAGATTTTAATCATGAAGAAGGAGCTGTGTATGTGTGTCTGTATGTCTCTATCTTCGTTTTCATTTCTCCACTGGGTGTCCAGAGTTTGCGCTGGCCCTGCTTCAGTCACCATCCGCAGCCATGCCTCCTTTGAGGCAGGGCTTTCTAAATCTGCTCTCCATTCACTCAGAGCTTAATGTGGCAGCTGGCTCGCTGGTCCCACCTGTATGTTCTCCATTCCTCTTCCCCTGTCACTGCCTCCTTCCACACAGGTCCTCATCTGGAAAGGTGGATGATTGTTTCTTCCTTGGGGCTGCTGCTGAGGAGGGAGGCAGCTCCACAGGTAAGAAGATGATTGGATAGTTTTGGTATTGCTTTATTTTGCAGAATAATTGGTAATAGGAGATATTTTGTCTTGGGTTGCTTCGATACCAGAAGGTTAATTGTATTTAATCTTTTTATTAACCCCGCCACATTTACCTTCAGTATGTGCTTTTCTAAGTACATTAAAGCTGTCTTAATAACTTGACCTATTGATTTATCTCTATCCTATTAAATACCATGTTTTCCAAGTTTTGTTGTATGTTCTTTAAAAAATATTGGTAGACAAGGAAACCAAGTTTGACTTTGCACTTTGAAGCATTAATTTACTCTATATTTGTAATAAAGTTCACCTTGTGGATAATGACCAATTATTTTATAGCACCATGGTTGTAAATTACTTAGAAGGCCTTAGTCCTTCTATCACCAGTGTATTTTTCACAATATAAAGATGTGAGCAATACGGTGTGCAGCATAGCATACCTTATATGCTGAAGCAAAGTCCCTGAACTAATTAGTGGCATGCGGAAAGTTACTATGCTTTTAAACTGTGCTAATTTTAAGAAAATAATCAGTAAAGAAATGAAGTAAATGAAAACAAATGACCTGAAGTCTTCTTTTTACTGAGCAAGTATTTTTTTTCCTTCCGTTAAACTTGTCTTTTAAAATGTTTGCATTTTAGAGAATCACCTTGCATTCCTTTGAATTTACTATAGATTAAAAAAAAAAAAAATGGTGAAGTATTCGTTCCAGAAGAGACTTGTCAATGGTACAAATAGTAACAAACCTAATTATACATGAGCATTTAGGATAAGGTAAAGGTGACATTTTATATTTGAGAGAAAAGGGAGATGGAATAACTGAACAATCATTTGGAAAAAAGTAAAATTAATGAATAGCAAATATCAGATTGAACTCCAGAAGACTTAAATGTGTAAAATGTGTAAAGTAGCCTTAAAAGTACTAGCACAGGGGCGCGTGTGTGGCTCAGTCGGTTAAACGTCTGACTTCAGCTCAGGTCATGATCTCGCGGTTCGTGAGTTCAAGCCTCACGTCGGGCTCTGTGCTGACAGCTCAGAGCCTGGAGCCTGGTTCTGATTCTGTGTCTCCCTCTCTCTCTGACCCTCCCCCGTTCATGCTCTGTCTCTCTCTGTCTCAAAAATAAATAAACGTTTAAAAAAAAAAAAAAAGTACTAGCACATAATATAGTTAAATATTTGCATATACTTGGAGAAGGAAAACTTTTAAAGCAGGACAATTAAGCCACAAATCATAAAGTAAAAAACAGATAGGTCTTATTATATTTGTTTTTAAAGATCTGTTCTACAAAGCTAAAAGCAAAAAACTCTAAACAAACTCTAATGAAAAATATCTGAGACACGTAAGACAAACAAACAAATAAACAAACCCTTGGCAATTCCTATGAAAATAATGAGAATCTAGGAGGAAAAAAAAAAGGTTTTGGGTTACCATGGATAAAAGTAAAAATAAAAATGACAATAAGTGTAGTTGATAGTTCATTTTCACTAGCAATAAAAAAAAATGAAACTAACACTAAGGTAAAAATATGTATTTATTAGTTTGGTGGACATGTAAAAGATAGGTAATGGTATACAGGGATTGAAAAAGATATGGGGAAATGTCACTCTCTTAACCTTTTGCCTGGAGTGTAAATTCACTGTTGCTTTTCTGAAGGGAAGTGTTTAGTTACCTGTTGATCCAATAGTTCCACTGTTAGGAATTTATTCTAAAAAACGAATTCCATAACTGTATTTGTTGTAATGAAAAATTGAAAATAATTTGTCTACTGATTAGGAGTTGGTAAATTACGTTATAACCTTGAAAATGATAATGTAATTGATGAAAGTAGTAATAGCTAACACATATAACTAACACTTTATTATGTATCAGATACTAGTCTAAGCACTTCATATATTTGTTGACAAGGAAAGAAATATACATTCTTAAGTAAAAACTTAAATTCTTTTTTGTTTAAAAAAACAAATGCATAAAATAAATATGCATATATAGAGAGACATTCAATCACATGTATGTTTGTGAGTGGTGTACCTGTACATATGTGGGGTAGGAGAAGAAAACACCTCTTAGTGATCATGCACCAAGTAGAGATCATCTCTTGATTGTGGAATTACAGATATTATTTGTTTTCTTTCTTTATACTATATGTGTTTTCTGCATGTTTACCAATTAGTATGCTTTAATGATATATTCAACGAATGCTTTTTTTAATAAAAATATCACGGTGCCCTGAAGTTACAGAATTCGTTTGGATTATTTGATTTCGCCCTTAAAACTGTCTTAGATACACAACTTTTATATTAAAAATGATATATTTCATTTTTGTTAGAATGAAAGAAAACTTGAAAAAGACAAAAAGAGACACAGTATGGAGAAAGACAGTGATGGCTGCCCCCCGAAACATAAAACGGAGAATGAGCAAATAGAGACACAGAGCCAGATCAGTGACAATAGCCAAAAAAACAATGAGCTTGGAATAGTTGAAAATTATAAAGAGGCATTAACACAGCAGTTGGAGAATGAAGATGATACAGACCAGCGATCATCAGAATCAGGTGACAAATCTAGGTGATAAATATATTAAAAAATATATGTATATATATATATGTATACACACACACACACACACACATACACAGAATTTAATGATACATCTATCATTTGTCATGATTATTTTCACAAAAAATGTACTATAATATTTTTTGTCTCCAAATGCATTATTTATCATGGTTTTCTCATGGTTTTTAGTTTCTCCTTAATTTGCTAACTTATGTTTTTATTCATGATACCTTAAAATGTGATCCTTTGCAATTGAAATGAATTTCAGCAGAAAATTCTGTTTTCAATTTTGTTTCATAAATTTGGAATATAGCACACAATCCCAGGAATCCTTGAAATATATTTAACCTTTAAGGCTCTTTTAGGGAGTTTTATTTGGGTTTTATTTTAAGCTTCATAATACTGCAATCAGTGTCACTTCTTTTATTGACTTGTTTTTTCCATAGAATGCAGACCTACTCAGTTGAACAAAGTTTTTATTTTATTTACTTTGATAGAGAGAAAGCATGAGTGGGTGAAGGGGGGAGGGATAGAGAGAGAGGAAGAGAGAGAGAATTCCAAACAGGCTCTGTGCAGTCAGCGCAGAGTCCGATGCAGGGCTAGAAGGCAAAACCGTGAGACCATGACCTGAGCCAAAATCAAGAATTGGACATTTAACTGACTAAGCCACCCAGATGCCCCATGAACGTATTTAAAGCCAGTAGCCATTTTCCTATTATTTTAATATCATACAAAATCTTCAGTTCATAATTGCTTTGTTTTCTCTAAGTGGTTTTGTGATTTAACGGGAAGTTCATGTCTTTGGTTTCATAGACAGCCTGTGTTTGGAATCAGACATCTTGGGATAGAATCGAGATATTTGTTGTTACAGTGTATTGTTCTTCAGTCTTGGTTTCCTCATCTCTAAGGTGGGGATAAGCATCATATTTTTCCCACAGGGCTTTTAGTACTTATAACAAAAATAACCCTACAGTTCTTCTAGCACAGGGCCTGACATATGAACCAATAATCATACATCCTTGAAATTTCTGGCTAGCAGTATGGTTCCATTGTATATAAGAATTTTTGTACATACTTGGGGTGCCTCGGTGGCTCAATGGGTTAGGTGTCCGACTGTAATTTCAGCTCAGGTATGATCTCATGGTTCGAACAGCATGGAGCCTGCTTGGGATTCTCCCTCTCCTTCCCTCCCTCTAAATAAATAAATAAGGAAATAAATCTTAAAAAAGAATTTTTGTATGGTATCAGAAACATTATAAAAATAAGATCTCAATCCCTGAGGTTCAGATTTAAAAAATTAGACTTGAAAGTTATACCTTTTGTAAGTTGGGAAGTTAGGGCAGCCATATTCATACCCTTGTAGCTCTGTTAACAAAGTTAAACAGAAAGTAGATTTAAAGTGGCCTCCCAATATGTTGAGAGAACTTTGAACAGTTACACATTGTTAAAGAGAAAAATATTTGGCAGATTATTTGAAAGTACGGTGTAGGAAGAAGATCTAAGATAGTCAAACATATAACTATAATAGTAATAAGTAACATTTTTGTGCTTTAGAACCTGGCTTCAGATACCTTAGATTATTTAATGCAGGATTATATTATTTAATGTAAATAATTTTAGGGTATATTATTCCCATTATTTTGAATAGGAAATCAGGGGCTTGGAGAGGTTGAGGAGCTTGTTAAGATCATATGTCTTGTCTGTAGCTGGGACAGATCATCTGCCCATTATCCTGTGCTGTTTCATGACCCTGAGCCACTGCCCATCCTGAAATACCATATGGTTCTGGACTTTCTCTTCCCTTTTTCTCATCTGTAAAGCTTATGATTTAACTGTAAAACGATGTCTTTGTTTCTCTGTGGAGTAAGATGTCTCAAATGACACTACTTTATTTAGAAAAAGTATGTGTTTCTAAAAATGTTTATATTTCTCATTGCCTTGTAGATTTCATAATGTTGGCTATTTCTCACATAATAGATAATTCCCATTTTATAAAATGTGTTACATACATATAAATTAAGCAGTTTGAGATTGTCACTTAAAATACTTTAGTAACTTTGATGTTTGGTTATTTAACTACATGGCCATATGGTTTACACTGTTAAAATTTACATGTTAATGGCATAGATGGCCTTAAATTGTTTATATGTGCTTAAGTGAGAATCTATAGTTATTTTTTAGAAAGAACACCGATTCTGCAATGTCCAATAATGTGATTTTGGTTACATATATTTATTTATATTGGGCATACCTTGTCTGGGGGTTATTTTAATGGGTAACGTGTTTAAGTTTGATTAGGGTATTTTTTTCACATTCAAAGGATTAATTTTGGATTATTTATACCTAGAATCATTCTATATATTCTATTGAGACAAATCAACATCTCTCCCCTTTCCCTGGGCCATTCTGAGTTTCATGAGAATGCCTGGAATTAGACAATTATATTTACTTGATATGACATTTGGAAAAAATACAAGTTACTTTTGGAAATGTGAACTTTTTTTTGTATGCTGAATAATCTCTCATAAAACTTAAAATACAGGCTTTTTTCCATTTGTGTCATATTCATTAAGTATTAATTCAATAAGGAATCATTTAAAATTTTATGCTTAGTGAAAGCAGATTCACATTTCATTACTGGTAACAATTTCCAAAGTTTGAAGATCTGTTTTTATGGTAATGATAATATCAGTAGTCTAGTTCCATTCTTTTTTATTGTAGAAGTTTACATTTTCTCAAAGGCATATAGTTCAATGTTTATATTCTTATAGATAACAGCAAAAAGAAAACTAAGAAACTAAGAATAAAAAGGAGTCACCGTGTAGAACCTGTTAATACAGATGACTCTGCTCCTAAGAGTCCAACACCACCCCCGCCTCCTCCTCCTGGTGAGTAAATTGATATTGGTACTGAATTTAGATTTACTGCTTTAAACGGTAAAGAAAAATAAAGAAATTTTGTAGTTTTATTCAGTATATTTATTTTTGTGTGAATTTATGAAAAGCTCTTTTCTCTCTTTTGTTCAAAATGTATCATTGCTTTTTTAATCAGAAAAAAATGTTTCCTAAAAGTAAAAAAAAAAAAAAAAAAAAAAAAAAAAAAAAAAGTAAAATTAATAAGGACACTTTACACCAGCACTTTCTAGAATGAATTCAGGTCCTATTTGAAGTATCATTGTCCAGATTTCTGAAAGGAATTTAAGTTTAATGAATGGATGGCTAATGTAAGTTTTTAAATAGTTGAATCTTTCATCCTGAAAGTTAACATTTAAAACCAAGATGTGTGAATTTTTCCAATATATTTCCGACTTACATACTGACCTTCTAAGTTGTTATGAGAATTAAAAGGAATATTGCATGTAAAACACTAAGACATACTAACTGCACAATAATTGTAATTTTTCAGCACTAGGCATAGTACCTCACATACTATACATGCTCAATAAATATCTGAATGTATATATTTGTGGTGTCCTTTTAGCCTTGTTAGGAGGCTTTAGGTAGTAATATTTTCCTTTGAGAATTATTTCAAGACTCATTTATAGTATTTCACTTATTAGAAGAAATTTCTTTTAGCCTTGGCTAGAAGCTAGAATAGTAGCCTAAGGTAATTTTTGATGGTGGTGAAGATGCTTATATTTTTAACTAAAGTAAAAACTTAAAAGAGATGTTACCAGCCTATAATTACATTTTTCAATAAAAACTATTTCAAATGCCTTTGTGGTTATTCAGTACTGTGTCATTCAACATACATATATGACCTGGCATCAAATATATACATTCCTGTCAAGGGAGGGAACCTCTCAACAGGCCTAAAGAGACATTGTTTAACAGTGTTTTAAAATGTTTTTCTTTTTCTTTAGTTGGCTGGGGAACCCCCAAAGTCACTAGACTTCCAAAACTTGAGCCTCTTGGTGAAACACGTCATAATGGTAATGCAAAAGGATCAGTTTTAAAATATACATATTAAATCCACTTTTCTTTACCTTGACAAACTTTTATTTTTGGAAGCCTTTCAAATCCACAACCATCCTTTTTCATTATACTTAACTCTTTTTATTTTATTTAATTTTTTTATTCTTTAGTGACTTTTGGCTCTATATAATTTGTTTACTCTGGAATACAGAGGTAAAAATAACCATAGTTTATGTTTTTCCGTTACATAATTATGTAAATTGTTATGGAATGGGGACAGTTTTAAAGCAATTTAAGTTAAATATGAGAAATTACAATTATCCTTAGTATTGAAAACAGCATTGTCCTGTATATGCTCAGTGTACTCAGTGATAATGCTTCATAATTGTTTTTTGTCTGCTTCTTATAAGTTGACTCAGCTGCTGAATATTGGAATGAAGTAAAAATCAACACAGTTTGTAAAATCAGAGACTAAATCAGTAAACCAAATGAAGTTCAGCTAAATAGAAAGTTACGAAAGACTTACTGACTCTAGAAAACAGTTTTCTTTGGATGAAATTAACATAAGGTGTAGTCCAGCCAATATATGGCATTAGAAATCCACATTTGGAAAGAGAAAGGGAAGCTGGGTATAGAGAACTGCTTTGTACAACAGGCGGAAGTTCTGATTTCAGACCATCAGGTCAGGCTGTTGCAATAAAATGTTTCTAGAATGCGAAAGTGTAATTATATATAGCGTAGCTCATTAAAGTTCTCCATCAAGAATATCCAGTTCCCGGGCACCTGGGTGGCTCAGTCAGTTGAGCATCCGACTTCCGCTCAGGTCAGGATCTCGCGGTTGACGAGTTCGAGCCCCGCGTCGGGCTCTGTGCTGATGGCTCAGAGCCTGGAGCCTGCCTCGGATTCTGCGTCTCCCTCTCTCTCTGCCCCTCTCCCGCTCATGCTCTGTCTCTCTCTGTCTCAAAAATAAATAAACATTAAAAAAAAATAAATAAAAAAAATACCCAGTTCCCTTTTTGATAGCTCTGTTTACCTAATCTAGAACTTGGTTTACTATGGAGATCCATTTGCCAGCGGAAAAAAAAATCAGAAGTTTAGAAAACCATTATCATGTAACTTGAAATTATATCAAACTGCATAAAATACTTTTATTCAAAGAGTTTTGAAACTGGAATTATGGCTTTGGGTCAGATTGTGAAGTCCCTTACACATATGTTAAGATGTCTGGACTTGCTATAATTTTCCAAGAGACACTATACATTTTTGAACAGGGAAGTAGTGTTACTAGGTGTATTGTTTAGGAAAATAATTTTTTGTCACAATGGAAAGTACAGACTTGATGGTGGCCACACTTGAGGTCAAGACCCCATCTAGGAGGCTGTTGTAACAGTTACAGTGAGAAGTGAGGTATAGAAATTGGAATGAAGAGTAAAAAATGTACGCAGAAAAAAATCTTTTTTTTTTTTTTAATGATTATTTATTTGAGAGAGAGAGAAACAGAGAGACAGAGACAGAATCTGAAGCAAGCTCCAAGCTGTGAGCTGTCAGCACAGAGCCCAACACGGGGCTCAAATCCACAAGCAGTGAGATCATGACCTAAGCCGAATTCTGATGCCTGACTGACTGAGCAACCAGGCACCCTGGAAATATCTTAATTATAGTAATTAATATTTCATGAGTGGATGTATGGGCCGAGGGACAGAGGAATAGAGGATTATTTATTCAAGGGGCTGGAAGGTTGGTGCTGTCTCTAAGACTGAAAATACCTGAGGAAGGAGATATGGTTTGGAGGTGTCTGTAGGCTTATTTATTTGTAAATGTCTTTTGGCCAATCAGTACCAGAATGATTCAAGAACTCAGGAGAAAAGAAGGGACCCTGGTGGGTGGAGGGTTTGCAGATGGATTTTTTTTTTTCAGTTGTTATCACACAGTATGAAATCCTTGCCTGTAATTGATGCTTTGTAATCATTTACTGAATGAATGCGGGAAGGAATGATAGATAGTTTCTTGTTTCTGAGAGAAATTTTATAGAAAGAGGAGAAAAGAAGTAATGGTAGCATGCAGGGGGAAGCTAGTTAAGGGCAAGTGGAAAAAGGTCAAAAATGGGTTGAGAAGGTTATTTTGTTTTGTTCATCCTCACTTTCCTGTGTTTGTTTTAAAATTAGAACTCATGGGAAAGAATTGTAATAAATCAGCTAAGTTTAAGACCACCATATTCCAATAATTTAGTTAATTTTCAGTATGTATCAATAAATGTAGCTTCCCAGAGCAGAGAAGAAAACACTGTAACTTCACAAGTTTTAAAATATTTTTATTGTTTTTTTCCCATAAGTTACAAATTTTTTTTAATCTTTATTTTTGACAGAGAGAGCGAGTGAGCGCACATGCATAAGCGGGGGAGGGGCAGAGAGAGAGAGAAAGGGAGACTCAGAATCTGAAGCAGGCTCCAGGCTCTGAGCTGTCAGCACAGAGCCCGACACAGGGCTTTGGCTCTAATCCATGAACTGTGAGATCATGACCTGAGCTGAAGTCAGACACTCAACCAACTGAGCCACCCAGGTGCCCCTTTCCCATAAATTTTAAATCTAAGTATACATAACCTGGGTTAAAAAAAAAAAAAAAAAAGTACAATCAACTGCTTTCATTCATAGGGAAGAAAACAGGTATAATTAAAAATTGTAATAAAAATAATTTTTTAAGGTTTATCATAAGATCTTCATCTGAGATGCTGATAGCTGCAAATTTTAAAATTGCATTCTCTTCTTTTCTCTAGCTTGGTACACATTTCTTTGCACTTGGTTAATGGCAAGTAAACAACAGATACATGATGAACTAGAGTAGTAATTAAAAGGTAACTACTATTGGCTTAGCACTTAAAACTTACTCGGTTGGAAAACAATTTTTTATAGTTATATTGGGAATTTTTAAGGCAAATTCTTACTTGTTCTTTGATAATAGATATTTACCTTGATAGCAATTTCATTTTACTTTTCTAATGTCTATAATGCTTGCTCAGCGTAATAGTTAAGACATGCATTGAGAAAAGAAACTTAGAGAATGTGTATTTACTATGTAAACACTCTCAATCCATACTTCATTAACATGTATCATACATTATGGGAAATATATCAAGGATTCTGTTAGCTAAAAATACCAAATGCACTAAAGAATATTTCATATCTTAAAATGTGAATGAAGATAAAATTTTGTATGTAGTTTTACTACTCTTCAATTTCATGTTTAAAAAGTTTGAAGCTCTTTATAAAAATGTGTGTTAGCAATTAAGTTGGTCCTATCAGTTGGGCACTAACATCAACATATAGTCCCTACATTTAAGGCAATAAGAAACCTACTTTGTATGAATGATTTTATTTCCTGGCAAAGAAATAATACAAAATAAATTGTAAAAATAAAATAATTTCTTGGGAGGGAAAAAGATATTTCTTGCCATGTGTATGTGATTTTTCTTTGTAGGAGGGTACTTTTTTTTTTTTAATGTTTATTTTTTGAGAGAGCATGAGTGAGGGAGGGATAGAGAGGGGGGACATAGGAGCTGAAGTGAACTCTGCACTGCAGGCTGACAGCAGCGAGCCCAATATGGAGCTCGAATTCATGAATTGTAAGATCATGACCGGAGCCGAAGTCGGATGTTCAACAGACTGAGCCACCCAGGAACCCCTGGAGTTTTGGTTGTTTAATAAACTTAAATATACCATATTAGAAACTATATTCACTCTGGTTTAATTGTGAGTTCTGTTAACGTATTAAAATTCTCATTAATTTTGAAAATAAGAAATAAGAAAAGTCATACTTGAAATTTATCAAAAATAATTGTTTTAATTTAAATAATAACAATGATATAGCAATAATATTAATGGTATGCTCTGTGTTCCTGGCATGTTGCTAAGCACTTCAGGTACCATTGTCTCATTTTCATTCTCCTAAAAGCCTTGTAAGATGGGCAGTGATATCCCCATTTTTTGCACAGGGAACCTATACCCCATGTCACATAACTACCAAGTAACAATATTAGGATTTGAACTTAGGTGTGTCCAGCTTTCAAATCCATACCTTTCTTAATTCATTATGTTATACTATTACATTAAGATTTATTAGGGTATCCTTGCAGCTTACTAGTTGTTTTGAATTTGTAGTTGCTTGAAAAGCCATTTCCTGCTGACACATTTTTATATTTAAAGTGGTTTTCTTGTAGATAGCCCATAGTTGGATTGTACTTTTTGATCCTCTCTGACTCTCTGCCTTTTAATTGTTGAATTTGGACCATCCAGCATTCAAAGTGATTATTGGTATAGTTGGATTAATATCTACCATATCCATTACTGTTTTCTATGTGTTGCCCTCATTCTTTGTTCCTATTTTTGTCTTTCACTCTTTTTTAGCCTTTTGTGGTTTTATTCATTTATTTAGTTATTTGAAATGTTCATTTATTTTGAGAGAGAGAGTCCATGTGCACAAGTGGGGACAGGCAGAGAGAAAGGGAGAATCCCAAGCAGGCGCTGCGTTGATAGCCCTGACACAGGGCTCAGTCTCATTAACCATGAGATCATGATCTGAGCCAAAATCAAGAGTAGGATGCTTAACCGACTGAGCTGCCCAGGCGTCCCTGCATATTTTGGTTTTAATTGAGCATTTTATATGATTCCATTTTCTCTCCTTTCTTAGCACATCAGGTATACTAAATTTTTTTTTTCTTACCGTTTTTACTGGCTTCTCTAGAGTTTGCATTTACATTTACAACCAATCCAAGTCCACTTTCAAAGAATACTATATGATTTAATGGGTACTTGAAGTACCTACAGTAATCAAATAATCTTAATTCCTTTCTCCTGTTCTTTGTGCCTTGATGTCATTCATTTGACTTATATATATAAGCATGCATAAGTGTATATATGTATGTATACATACATTCATAAGATAAATATGTTTATATACATAAATACATTGAACAAACTTTTATGGATCATTTAAGAATAAGAGAAATGTGTTTTCATTTTACTTTTACTTATTTCTTCAATGCTTTTTCTTTATGTAGATCTGAGTTTCTGACCTATGTTATTTTCCTTCTTTCTAAGGAACTAATTTTTGCATTTCTTGCAAGGCAAGTCTACTCGCAATAAATTCCCTCAATTTTTGTTTGAGAAAGTCTTTATTTTTCCTTTACTTTTTAAGGGCAGTTTTGCAGGGTACAGTATTCTAGGTGGGTGTGTTTTTTTTTTCCTCTAAATATTTTAAATATTTCACTTTACTTTCTTCTTGCTTGCACGGTGTTTTAGGAAAAGTTGGATGTAATTCTTATCTTGGATCCTTTGTTGGAAAGGTGGTTTTTTTTTTTTTTTTTTCTGGCTTATTTCAGGATTTTTAATTTTCTTTTATTTTCTGTAATTTGAAAATGATGTGCTTATATGTCGTTCATTTGGCATATATCCTGCTCAGTGTTCTCTGGATTCCTGGATCTGTGCTCTGATGTCTGACATTAATTTGGGAAAAGGCTTAGTCATTGTTGCTTCAAATATTGCTTCTGTTCTTTTTTCTTTCTTCTTCTGATATTCCCATTATAAATAAGGTATGCCTTTTGTACTTGTCCCACAGTTCTTGGATGTTCTCTTGTTTTGTTTTGTTTTTCCAGTCTTTTTTCTCTTTGCTTTTCAGTTTTTGAGGATTTTATTGATTTATCCTCAAGCTCAGAGGTTCTTGCCTCAGTTGCATCCAGTCTACTGATAAGCCTATCACAGACATCCTTCACTTCTGTAACAGTGGGGGGTTTTTTTGGTTCTTTTTTAGGATTTCTATCTGTCTGCTTACATTGCCATCTGTTCCCGCATGCTACTTATCCATGAAAGCCCTTAGTCTATTAATCATAGTTGTTTTAAATTCCTGGCCTGATAATTCCAACATTTCTGCCATGTCTTTTGCTGATGTTTGATCTAGCTCTTCAAATTCTGGCTGTTTTGCCTTTTTGAATGCCTTGTATTATTTTATTATTATTGTTATTATTATTATTATTATTATTATTATTATTATTTTGATAGCCTGACATGATGTCCCAGGTGAAAAGAACTGTTACAAATTGGCATTTAGTAATATGGTGGTGATGTGTGGTGGAA